AAACAGAAGGGGAAGATATGGAGGCAGTGACAGATTTTACTTTCTTGGGCTCCATGATCACTGCAGATGGAGACAGCAGCCACGAAATTAAAAGACACCTGCTTCTTGGGAGGAAAGCGATGACAAACCTTGACAGCGTCTTAAGAAGCAGAGACATCACCTTGCCAACAAAAGTCCGAATAGTCAAAGCTATAGTTTTTCCTGTCATGATGTAGGGAAGTGAGAGCTGGACCATAAAGGAAGCTGACTGCTGAAGAATTGATGCTTTTGAGTTGTGGTGCTGTAGTAGGCTCTTGAGAGTCCCCTGGACTGCAAGGAGAACAATCCTATCCATTCTAAAGGAAATCAACCCTGAGTGCTCACTGGAAGGACAGATCCTGAAGCTGAGGCTCCAATATTTTGGCCACCTCATGAGAAGAGAAGCATCCTTGGAAAAGACCTTGATGTTGGGAAAGTGGGAAGGCAAGAGGAGAAGGGGACGACAGAGGATGAGATGGTTGGACAGTGTCATCAAAGCGACCAACATGAATTTGACCCAACTCCGGGAGGCACTGGAAGATAGGAGGGCCTGGCATGCTCTGGTCCATGGGGTCACGAAGAGTTGGGCACAACTAAACAATGACGACCTTCATAAATTCCATTGACTCAGTGGGCCTGCCCTAGTTTTCACTTGCAACTGGATTTCAGGCACAGTGCTTAAACTTTTAATGGAATTATTATTTGCATTTATGTTGGACCTTTCTCGAAGACCTACATATCTTATTCTCACACCCCTTTTGATTCTTGCAATCAGAACAGGAAGTAGGTTAGGTCAAGAGATTGTGACTGACCCAAGCCAACTAGTGTCTTTAGTGGTTAAACAAGGTCTTGACCTCAGGTCCCATTCCTAGTGTACCTACTTCCCAGCACAGGCTCTCAGTTGAGTGATTCAATCCATCAGGAGAGATCTTTCTCATGGCACTGCCATCTTCACAGGTGTGTTTGGTGGCTACATGGCAGAGGCTTTTCTCTGTGGTGGCTCCCAGATTTTGGAACTCCCTTCCACTGCTTTGAATATGTTTTTTGGTATTGCTTTTGTTTACCATTTCTTTGAGTAGTTTGATCCCTTTTTTGCATTTGTTTTTAGCTTTAAATATTGTTGTTTAACGATTAAGCCGCCTTGGGTGGGGTAAAAACATTATAAATAAATAAATAAATAAATAAATAAATAAATAAATAAATAAATTTTACAGTATTTTTTAGAAATAATGGTTAAATTCCATAGCTTGCATTACCCATGTGGTGCTTTGTATTGAAAGCACTCTTCTTCTGTCAAAATGTTTTTCCTGTTTGCTGTGTAAACTGAGATTAAATCTAAATCCTGCTTCCCCCCACCCACATACCTTCACATCTTTGTGTTTTAAGCTCCAGGTGAAGGAGGAGGAATGAGTGTTATACAACAAAGTGAGCAACAGCAAGGAAGTTCTCTGAAGTGTGAAAGCTATGAATGCTGGGTGGAAAATTGGTATAAAATATAAACAATTTGTTCCGATGGTGACGGTTGCAGACCAGATTCTCCCCCCAGCGGCTCTCCAAGCAAACCTGTTGGCTTCCAAAATAAAAAAAGACAGCATTTTAAAACTCTTCTTTTTCCTAGCTGCAAAGGCTAGAAAAGGACGAGAATCCCTTAGAAAAATATAAGAAAAAGGGGAGCCACGAACTTTTAAAAGGACAAAGGAGG